TTAGTTAGCATAACTACGAGTTTTAGTTAGCATAACTACGAGTTTTAGTTAACATAACTACGAGTTTTAGTTAACATAACTACAAATATTGATCAAGCAAACTAAATTAAAAAGTATTTAGTACTACAAAAATATAGTAAAAATTACTGCATATTTCAGTTCGAATAACTATAATAACTTGACTATAATATTTTAGTAAATCTGACTAATCTTATAGCTATCCCTATAGCAACTATAAAATACAGGTATTCCTACTATTTTTATAGTACAAATAACTGTTTTGTTTTTTCCGTGCATGATATTAATATTATATATATTAAAATTGCTCCTTTTTTCTGCCACTTTTTAGCTGAGGTAGTAAAGTGGTTGATTTTGACTATAGGTTCTATTCATATATTTATTAAGTTCTTATTTGTTCACAAACTTTAAAAAATAATACAATTTTCGAAACTTTTCCAAAGTGTATGACCGTCCAATTTGTATCTTATAGTATTAGTTTATCTTATGTCAATATTTTCGAATTAATGTAATGTCGTTTTCTATAACTAAACATACCATATACTTACTTAGGTACTAACTGGAAAATTATATCTGGTCACAAAGAAGGACAAACCCAAGTTGACTCGCCGTCTTACGATAGCCGAACCTGGTGGTGTCACCCGATCGACATTCACTTCGCGTCCAAAGGCGTACAAGGTACATAAATTATAATATACAAATCTATTTTACATTTTTTTATCATATTTTAATAATTTTCTGAAATGCGTTGTATTAATGTGTATTTATTTGTTGAAATTACGGTCACTACAATATGTTATATAGGTACTAAGGTAGGTTAGATTAGGTGTAATGAGTTAAAAACAATATTTTAAATTATATACGTATGTCAACGTTATGTTCTGTTCCTAGGTTGGCCTAAATTCCACGTGCAAGTATACCACTACGATAGTTACGGACGTAGCGAGATTTACGGGTACGGATTTTGTTACGTGCCGACCACGCCGGGAACGCACACGGTAGATTGCCACACTTGGCGGCCGATAGGTCAGTATATGATGAAGTTATAATTTAACAATGAACACAGAAACATATTATTATAGATTTCAAATAATAATCAAATTTTATAAAACATAAACATATGGATTAATAATAGTTAAGATTTTAATTCTTAAAACAATTTAATATGGGTACAATTAGTAATTACTACCGATTAGTGCTCATCGATTGCTGCGGACCGATTGTGAAGCAAGTTCAAATAGATATCTGACTCCGAGATGTGTTTTCCGGATTCTTGAATGTAATAAGTTAATTCTTATATAGTTTAGAATTCAACCATAGTTTTACTTCGGTATCATATCCGTGTTTGAAATTGTAATTTTTTTATTATGATTTAGAACCTTATTCGAACAAAAATTGTAAGAAAATTAGAAATTAGAAAATTAGAAATGTGTATTTATATTTTAAATTTTAAAAAATGAATTACTATAATATATTACTGGCTCTCATTTATAACCAAATTAAAGAAGGCTATATTACATTATCAGATTTAAGATTTTAAATCCGGATTATGATTTTTCTGATACACTTCGCGGTCTCGCGGAATACATTTTTGTATACAATTTTTGAGGTCTATATTAATCGTGGATATTATTATGTAATAATTCAAAGAACGATTTTCCAGGTAATCTCAGGGACGAGTTTCGCCGGTTTTTTCTCGGCGGTGGAGCCCAACTGAAATCGCCAGATTTCGTATACTGTGGCACAGACCGGTACCGGTTGCACACCGAGTCGCTGGGAACGGTGCGCTTCCGGTTGAACGTGATTGCCCGGAACTTTCGGAGGTACGGAGTGGAACTATAAACGATGGTCGGAAGTAGACGCGTGGCTTTTTTCACGACCATGGCCTTGTTGTCGATCGGTTGGGCGTACGCCGAGACGCCAGCCATCAAAAATTGCATGGCCAACGAAACGTGTTCGGTACAGCCAACAGTGGTTGCATCTGCGGCAATGACGACGGTGGCGACACCAAAAAATTCGCTCAAAACTACTGCTATCGCAGGTGGCAGCCCACAAATAGTTCATTACGATGTCTCCGGAAACGATTCCAAAGGATCGACTCTTAAAGACGTGTTCGTGCAGGTTGATGACAAAACCGTCACGCCAATTGGTGGTTGTGACAAGGCAAACGGTTCCGGAAAAGCTTCTTCTGGAAGCTCGAACGTTACTGTAATCGTTAAACCTCCTGTTGGAAAAGTTAACACCACGAAAACTGAAACGACTTTGTTGGTAACAAATTCCACAAATACTACCAGCACCAGCATCACCACCACGGAATTTACTAGTATCTCGCCGCCAAAATACTTGTCTGAAAACAATGCCGAAGTCGTTCGTTTTGTTCCCTATAAATACTGCCACTGTGATCTAATCGTAAGTACCTAATCGTTCTTTGTTTTTATATATCCCTAATCCCTGTAAAATACCAAAAAGTCCACTTTATCTGTTAAGCTATCCGATGTATCATCTTCTTAAATCTTACTTAGGGTAATTTATTTATGGAATCCATTGTATTTGTGTTTCTTATATATAATACTTTTTGTTTATATAGTACGGAAGCTGTGACATAAACTGTTGTTGCGACACAGATTGCACTAATCACGACTTGAAGACTTTCACATTGTGTCCTGATCAAGCCAAGTCTTCTTTAATAAAGCAAGAATCAATCTTGTTTGATTCTTCGTTGTTTTACGTGGTGATCGAAAACGTACCATCAGAATATTTTTATCCAGAACGAAACGTAACTATATACCTATAATACATATATGATAAGTATGTAAATAAATATGTTGTAAAACTGATAGCTGTATGTTTTGAAAACGCGTCTTACAGACAATCGAATCTGAAACGCAAGTAGCAGCTTCTCTTCGAAAACGGGACATTTTCTTTTGGCGTGATGAAAAGACTACCAGCCGACATCATCCTCTCACTTCTACACTTCCAGTTGATTCCTCCACATACAACAACTACGACCTTACTTACAAGTCTTCGCGATGGATGTTTAACGTCGTTTCTGACGTAAATTCTTCTGGAATCAAAACATTCAGTCAGTATAATTAGTTTTTAGCGTATGCGACGCAACCACCACCTTCACGTCTCAGCGAACAAAGACTTGAAATATTAATACGATTGTCCTTTCATCAGGTTTGAAAAACAGCGCTCTCGATTCGCTGTGTGGCATCGAACAACCTGTCGAATATTTGAAGACGAAGGAAACAAACTGCAAGACATTCGTGCCTAATCTGACGGACATTTGCAACAACAACTCATCATTCAGCTACAAGTTCTATTACGGCGAAAGAGGGCTGTTCAAAGTGGTGCAACCAATTTACAATAGTGTCCAAAAGACAGAGGTGAAGATTCTATATTTACGACTTTATACGAGGTTTATTATATGATGTTTATTGCAAGGAAGTGACACAAATTTCATGAAAAGTATACCTAACCGTTTCGTAGAATATTCTAAAAACTGATCTCGGAATGTATTAAAATCGTATAAATTATTAAGTTTACCGTAGTAGATACACTATTGCAAATGTTTAATAACCGTGTAGTCAGTTGATTTTGATACTGAGATCGATGATAAGTGATAAATTTGGGAATTGATATTTTCAGAAAATCGGTTTGGTCACCATCCAAGCGACGGCGCACCACCACTGCGTGTCGGTGAACGAATCGTCGTACGATTGTCAGGTTGGGAAAGTCGGCATCGGTACCAGTGGCTCCGACAATCGTTCACACTACGATCCCATATACTTGGGCGGTGTTTGCCGTCGAGCAGTCGACGGGGTTGAGTACTTGGTGACGCACAATGGTTCTAGGGGCGTCCGTCGCGTGGACGTGCACTTCTATCACCAGGACGTACCAGACACCGGTCGTCCCATATACCTTGGTCAGAGGTTCCGCGTTCGGTTCGCCTGGGCCTCAGTCAGATCACCGGTGGAGTCGTACGAGCGGAGTGGTAAGCCCGGTTACATGACCGGCAGCCCGGTGCTGGTGACCTTGACCGGCAAAGACGTAGTGAAACTCCGTCATCCGAAGACGATGAACTTACCGGAACCGGACGGGTACGGTGCTTGCGTTCACTCCACCGGATCTCGGCAGTCCGTCAACTTCCTGGAAAGTGTCGACGTCCAGTGTCGCGTCCTGGTCCGACGCCGAAATATGCAGTTTTCCAAGAGAGCTGAAGATCATTCCACACCCAGTGGTGGCGTCTCGTTCGCAGACATTTGTAACGACATTCAAAACGAAGTATGACACAACATTCTTATTTACTGAGAACCCATACAATTTATTATACAGATATAAATTATCATATTATCATCAATATAACATGTACGTTTGCGGAGTGGTGTATAGTGTATACCGACTGATCCAACCGGCAGCAACTATGTTGAGTGTATCGAATGTGTAATAGGTAGTGAATTTATGGATTATTGGGGTTGTTATATAAACTTTAAAAATATCAAAAACTATAAATATATACATATCGAATCAAAAAAGATTCTTTATCTTTAAAACAAAAACCAAAAACCAAGAACCTGGAGGGTGGTTGGATTACGTCAAAGAAAGTGTGAAAAGTTAGCTGTATAAACTATGCCTAGTTATATATATTATATTTATATTTTTTTTTATATATATAAGTAAAATAAAATATAAATACACCATGATGTAGTATGTTGTATGTATGTTATAATTATAGTAGTGTAAAAAAGCCGAGTATCGAAAAGTTCGAAAACCCAGTGTAGTTGTTCTATCATTCACACACGTAAATTATTAATAAACACAAACATTGGTTCCTGGTAATTCAACTTCAATTACATATCGAACACCACCATGCATATGTATGGTCGATTATATAGCAAACCAAAGCTTACGAGTTACAAGTTGAAACGTAAACCAATTATAATTCCTAGTGAATGTATAATTTTGGAGATTAAAAATAAATTTAAAAAAGATCTATAGATCACGGTTATGAGAATACACTTATATACGTGAATTTTTAATATGGTATAGATTATAGAGGCGACCTTATGAGGATGTCAAGCTTAGGTGCATTGTTTTCTCTCTTAGATCCACGAGCAATGTGAAAAATTTGCGTTCAACCCCTTGTGTTGTTTACTGTTTAGTATTGGACTGAATTTATCTATTATAATATTATAATTTTACATACTCTTGTAGAATCTCCCGTAAATCCACCGAAAAAGATATTATAAAAATACAAAACGTAAGAGCACAAAATATAATAACTTTAAGTTTGATAATAGGTCGATTCTAACCCTAACCTAACCCTAATTCACTGTAATACTAAAGCTAAGAACCGCGGCTATAGATATGAATGGTTGCACACTGGACATACGGTTTTGGTTCTGTTGAACACACATTTTCCATGTTACTCGCGGGCGAAAGAGAGAAAATAAATAGTACTCTGACATCTTCTCATCACTGACGAACATATTGTTATTTGACAGACGATGGCAGTGCTCGGAGATTACGAAGGCGCCCTGGTCGCCAGTCTCGGCGACCCGGACGTGACCAGGTGGATACCGTTCGTGGTCGCCAAACCACCCGCACAGCAGTCACCGATGTCTGAAGACTCATGTCCGGCCGTGATAGACGGCGTACACATGCGGGTGTTATACTCGCACGTGGGCCCGTTCGACGACCCGCGGGCCACTGTGCTGGGCGTGCTGACCAATTACACATCGTCGGCCGTCACCGTCAGCGGCGGCGATCGATCGGCGACGGTTGAAGTGCCGGTGAGGGTCACCGTGGTGTTCGTGGACCTGACCCGGCCGCCCGTCAGGACGTTTGCCGAACCGCCCACGTACGAGTTCAGGTTGCCCGAAGACTTTTACTATCCGTTCTGGTCGTCCAGCGCCAGCCGAGTTTCGCGTTCCTTCCACAAAATCCATTTCGTCGTCGGTCTGCACCTGTTATTGTCGTACCTATACGGCTGCGGTTCGTTTAACGTACGTGTGTAGTGCACAAGCAATGTATATTATAGGAGGCACACGTGTACGCTTCCTTTGCGGATAAGCAGTCCCGAACAGTAATTAATGATGAGCGGCTACATTTATTATAATTTGCTGACTCGCCTCTTTTTTTTTTTTACTTCGCTGATTAGTGTACCGGGTGTAACAAAAAGACCAGACAAATGAAGAATGACAAATGTATACAAGTTGAACTTAAAACAATAATTATGAAAATTAAATAGATAATAAATGATTTAATACCTGTGTCCGAAAATTCAATAAAATGATATTTTGAAAAAAGTTATTAAGATTCAAATTAATTTAAACATTTATGTTTTAAAAAATAAACTGCTTGACTTAAATAATCGTCGTTATCATTATTTTTTTGAACAAAAATAAAAATGAATCAAATTTATTATTATTTATTTTGAGTATTAAATATTAAAATTAAAAAATATATAACGTATTTGCAGCTTGATGGTCTATTAACTATATATTATAAAAAAAAATGTTTAATATTGAAAAAAACAAAATAGTTACCTACTCCATTTGTAAGGTCTTTCTGCTACACCATGTATACATATAAGTAAACAGGTATATATATGTGGCGTGTTCACTGCAGGATATTTTAACTTGAAAATAAAATATACTTATATATGTATATACCTATATTAGCATACGTATATAAAATTAATTATTTTAATAGTATATAACTATAGATTATAGTATTATACCTACTTATCCTAGTGCGTTCACTAGCGTTCGTCTTCAGTTATGGTGAAGGAAATGCCATTGATTCAGTTATACTGTTGTCACTCAGCTTGCAGCTTGTAATCACAAATATTCTATCGTTATTCGTCAGTATCTACTTTAAGCTTCAAGGAATTTGTCAGTTTTTCTTATATTACCTTAATTTATGATAATTGATAACTGTTAACCGTAATAAATATTTTAAATGTATATCTTCGTAATAAATAAGAGTTGATTAAAATGTATGTTTCGAATTTCGTTAATTATACAAAAGATATAAACATATGATACATAGTTATAGTCGACACAATTATTTATCGACATCAATAATACATCGATTTGCCACAGGATATGCTGCATTAGTGCGATTCATAAAATAGTCTATAGAGCCAAAACTATAAGATCTAAATAAATATTTGTGTGTAGGTATCATGTACATTATATACATATAGGTACCCGTAATATGGTATTATATATTAATATTTACGTTACCACACTAATATTTCAGTTGTCCATGCCAAAATTTACAATATAATGCGAAATACAACATAATATAATATAACATTATACCGGAAATTACGGATATTACAACTAATAATAATATTCATTTATCTATTTCAACATAAGTATTATGTATTGGATAGTATTCGTGTAATAAAGCATAATCACTAATAAGTGGAAATCAAGGCTATATAGAATACTAGTACCTATATATTTATTTATATATATACATGGGAACAGTTTTCGTCAATCGTTGGCATAGACGGAACTACGAGTCAGGCACTGGCTGACCTATTACTGACTTAATAAACATTTTCATACTTAAAATTTGGAGCAAAACTGTCGATACGTTTATGTGTTTCAAAAATATAATAACCGTACCATTTCCAATATAAGTGTCAAAATCTTAATATGTTATACAAACATTTAATATTATAGGTAGGTACTTACCATAATATTTTTATAAAAAAAAACAGTATCATGTTTGTATTATATCTGTGAATAACCGATTAAGTTAGTTCAATGATTGTCGGTTCGGTTGAATAACAATAATTCACACCCAAAGATGTATAGGTACTATTTATTATATTTACATAGATACAGGTGTTTAATGATTATTGTATTAAGATATCGAAAACAAACTTAACGATGCATACAAAATTGATTAATTAAATCAATATTTAACTAAGCACCACTGGTTTGGCATAAAATACATTTTTTGTTCTCTGAGAATGAGTGCATGATAAATATAAATAAATCTATGTATTACATGTGTGAACACACTATTATGTGTCTCACTAAATAAATAAAAACATAATTTGAATGTCCCAATTCTGAAAATATAACACTGATGTAATCTAATAAGGACAAAATAGGTCGATATATTATTAATTATTGTGTATAGGTTAGGTTTATGTATCAGTTGAATGTTCATTGATCCTTAAGTCCTTACTGTTGTAGTGTTGTGAGTACAAGGGCAGCTTTTGGTCTCAACAAAAATGATTCTGTATTTACTAGATTTCTAGAAAATTATAAATAACAACATAATGACTATAAATTACTGTATAAGTTATTGTTATTATATAAATGTATCAATATTATTTAGTTTATAATATTCTGTTGCTTACCCAGTTACATATCCAGAATTAACACTAGAAACCTTCACTATCAAATTAAGTGGTAAAGTATTTCTAGCTTTTAACAAATTAACTGTTTCTATTTCACTTCCAAAGTTAACCACGATAAAGTATGTTGGATGATCATAAAAACTCCTATAATAAAATATTGTATTTAGTTTTAAAAATCGTTGTCATATTCATGTATAGGTAACACCAAGGGCACCCGTAAAATTATAAGCCGGGGGAGGGGGGAGCAAAGTCTCTGATAGTACATCAGAACACTATTTTTTTTTCAGAAGTGATGAAACAATTAATACTAACTAAAATAGAGGGAGGGTATGGCCCCCTTCATCACCTCCCTGTAGGCGTCCAATGCTATAACAAAAGTATTCAACTAAATTAAAAATAAATAAATAACTTATACTTCGATTCCATTATTATTTTATTAATTTAATTAAAAATATACGTACATTAATTATTTGTAGGCTCCAAAAATTTGGACTATATGATCTACCATACTATTAATAAAAGTATTAGTATGCGGTTTACGGTACAAATATGAAGTAGATTTAGTGTTTTTACATGTAATATATAGTTATTAAAATAATATAAAAATATTATTATTACCGTACGTCTGTAAAATTTTGCTGGATTATTTTTTTTTTTAATCTTAAAAAAATTATTAACAATTAAATTATAAACGTATGGACTATGGAGTTTTTTAAGTAGTGTTTTTGAATATCCCTTCCATAAATTTAACAAATCACGCATCATTTATAATAAAATCACTTCTACTAAGATACGGATCCATATTAATACTTACTTTTATATAAACAATATTAATTGAAAAATTAACTGTTTCATAACGTACCTTGAAAATCCAAACACCCATTTCGACAAAGTGTATAAATGCAAATCGCCTTTAACAAATGTTGGACTCCTCCTCAACTGAGTCAGTTGTTTGTAAATCTTCAGATTACTTTTGCATTTTGATTCTGTTGCCATATTTTTTTTCCAATAGTCTGGATTGATCGGAAGCCATAATTTAGACGAATTGGAAAAACCTGTAGGTAGTTACAAAATTATCGTATCAACGTTTATGACAGAAGTTTAAATTTACTCGTATTTAATAAATATACAGCATCATTAATCTAATAACTAACCTGCGTTATATGAGGTGTCCCATGGGAATGGGGTTCGTACAGGATCTCTGCTGAATTGCAAATACCGTTGCGGTCCCACGTTAAGACCAGGTGGGTCGACAGTTTGATCCCAACGAATGTTTGTGTTGATCAAACCAAGCTCGTCTCCGTAATACTCCACGGCAGTGCCTGGCAAGAGGTTTTGAATCATATGAAGTCCGTCTATTAACATTGGATTGCTCCGAGTAGCCACCCTCGGGTTATCGTGGTTACCTAACTGTACAGGATGGATTCATTGGAGGTGATAACTGTTACCTGCACGTACGAGATATCAGGTACTTATTTTTCTACTTACTACCCAATTAGGCCAAGTTCCATTAGGCATATTCTGCATCCAGTATTTTATCATATTATGAACTGACGCTGCGTCAGATTGTTGGTTGAAAGTTTCAATAAATAAAAAGTTGAAAGGGAAATGAGCGCCGGGTGACGTTTTATTACCGTAGTACAATAGGACCTTGTCCAAAGGCGAGTGACATTCCACCACAAAAAATCTGAACACCAATTTATAAGTTTAAACATTTGTTTAAAATTATAAATTATTGTCATAGACAAAATAAATGTAGCCATTTATCTTTAATAAAATTGGTACAGTCGAGTCTCAATAACCCAAATCTCAAGGGTAGGTATGTGAATAAATTCAACTTGTGTATTTTTCGAGTTATATACCTCAAACACAACTTAAAAACACTTCAAGGGGCAAAAAAAATTAGAGTTATTGAGACTTGACTTTATTTTAATTTTCTACTGTGAATTATAACGATTCGATGTTAAGTCGTCAAGAGTAAATATCGATAAATACTGCAGAGTTCACCGAGCATTACCAACCCAATATTTCCTTTAAAACTGAAAATGTGTTCAAATTATGATAGTTTGAAATATAAATAGTTTAATTGAACTTAAGATACTACATTTAATGTCGAGTCTCCGCCTTACACAACATATAGCATTATTATGTTGAAAACTTAATACTTATAATATAAGTTATATATGTTATATTATAACCTAAAAGGAACATTATTTTAAATATTTAGATTTTTCTACGAAATATATAACTTGTACGTAAATTTCTGTGGTAATATCAACTTTTTTTTTCAAATAAAAACCACCCTTTTTATTGTAAATCGGTCAAATGTTGATAATGAATAGCATGTAATATTATAATTTAACTAAATTTTTACTTGGTTTTCTTCTCCCTTGTCCTATAATTATCAAACAACTGTCTCCATTCGTGTACAATTGTAAACGCCTCTGGCTGATCGACCGTGCTAGTATGACTTAACGAATAGTAATCAGTGTCTAAATAACCAATATTATTAGATTTCGGTTCGTCAGCTAAATCTTCTCTTTCGAATAAAAAATTTACCGAATTCATTTTAAACCCGTCTACATCGCGTCCCAACCAAAACAAAAGCGTGTTCTATAGGGAAAATACATTTTTAAAAGTTTGATTAGATGACTAGTCTGCAATGTGTATTTTTTAATCAATGAGTGATGACTACCTTCATTGCTTCTCTAACTGATGGATTCCTATAATTCAAGTCTGGTTGTTTTTCTTGGAATTGATGTAAATAATACTGATTTCGTTGTTGGTTCCATTTCCAAGCAGATCCGCTATTGAATACACTTAACTAGAATTTTTTAAACCCTTATATTAATTATGCTGCGCATAAAACCAATATTGATCCTATACTTGGTATAAAAACAGATAACAGTTTTAATTTGTAACATACCAATTATTTAATGTTACAATACAAAATATAATGTTTTATTTGTCTTTTTTACATAATGTCTGTATCATTATGTTAACCTATTAGCATAATATATTATAAGCAGAGCTCGGAACTTAAAGCACTTAAAATCATTCAAATAAGCACTTAAAAAAAGCGTTAAAAAACATCATTATAAGCACTCAAATAAGCATTTAAAAAACTTAAATTTAAGCAAATATATTTATTTAAAAATAAAAACTAAAAAATTCTAGCTAAAAAATCAAAAAATTAATAAATAAATCTTTGTCTTTATATAACAAAAAAAAAAAATTCTTCACTTTCGAGATTTTAAGGATTTTATAGACTTTCTGAAAAATAAAATGTAAACACTATTCACAAATATTTGAAAAAAATTTAATTAATTAATTAAAGCAACATAAATAAGATAAGAATTATTTTTAATTTTAATTCTATCAAAAACAACTTTATAGGAGAAAACCATAAAAAACTAGAAAAACTGATCAAAAAAGCAAAAATAATCATAAAAACTGGAAATTAGCATATTTTTTTTTAAATCGCTGAAAAAAGCAAAAAAAAACACTTTCGAATTTCATAATTGAACGTGTTGTAACATGACATACACTTCCATAGTGATCTGCTACATTTTAAGTCAATCCATAAAAATAAGCAAATACTTTAAGTCCCAAACCCAGTGGTCGAAGTGGGGGGGGGATACGGAGGGATGACATCCCTCTACTTTTTTGTATTTACATTTTTCATCCCTCTACTTATTTTGTCTAGAATGACGCATTCCTCCTAAGACTTGTGTTTTAAAATGAAATAATTATTATGATTTTTATATTTATACCTATGTATAAGAAAACTTTTTATTTTTAGTATAGGCCTAAATCTGAATTGTAAGGGGACATCCCCCCACTTATCTTGAGCCATTTCGACCACTGCGGCCAAACCCTGATAATGAGTATGTAAGACATAATAATTAAATACCTTCTGCGTTGACACATAATATATAAATATTAAACTCTACAAGTTGAAACTATTATTGTACTATCATATGTATTATCCATATCATGTTATAACCAATGATTAAATATATGACATAAATACATAATAAGCTAAAAATAATTGAATGATTTTTCTCCCAATCATAATAAGTTATAACGTTATAAGATTTACTATTGCACTTAAATGAAATAAAGAATATTAATACCTGTACATTGTGTTTATATTTACAAAGCAAAGTAAGTATTTTGATTACTTAACTTTTGAAAAGTTAAGTTTTTGAGGTAAAAATTTAAAAATATATCTCGAAATCCGACTCAACCCATTACACCATACTTAAATATTTCATATTTTACATTATATTTGGCCTACCATCAGCTTATATAATATTTCATTGTTTAGATTATTATAACTTATATACCCAGTTACTTGGAGGCGTCTTATTGCCATTTATATCAATAATCGGATCCTTCCATACATAATAGTTGGTAAAGGGTTCAATTCTCATAATTGATTTTTGGAACCATTCATGTTCATCACTTGTATGGTTAGGCACAAATTCCAACAAAACTTTTATACCTATAAGGATAAAATCCGTATAAGAAAAATAATAGTTTAATTATTCTTTAGAAAAAAAATTAATTAAGTTCAAATGGTAACCATTTTTATGAAACTCGTCTCTTAATCGTTCAAAGTCCACCATCGTGCCATAAACAGGATCGATCTCTTCATAATCGGATATATCATAACCGAAATCATTTTGTGGAGAGAGGAATATAGGCGATAACCAAATTGCACCGACATTTAAACTTTTGAAGTATGACACTTTTTCGGTTATACCTATAAAATATATAAATAACAAACAGTATACGTACATATAATGTCAGAAACTATAAACATTAATATTAAGAGTGGAAATATCTTTTTTTAAACTAAGATAAATATGATATAGGTAGATAATATGGAATAAACGATTTTTTTTTTAATGTATATAATATATATTATGTACATGAAATTTTAGATATATTCTATTAAGTTACTTATAAGTAAATATAAATATTTTCTAAATCAAGTTTTTATAAGATCTTATATTATTATTTGAACATTAAATGAGTTGTATAATACTTGTATGTGGTTAGACTGAATTCTCCGATGAGAAATATTGATTATTGCAATGTTAGGGTTGGTAAAATGCACTAACCGTTCAGATCTCCGATTCCGTCGCCATCGCTGTCTTTGAATGATCTCACGTATATCTGATAGACGATATTCGCTTGCCACCAATTTGGTTCGAAGGAGTTACTTAAACCTCCATAAATAAATTCGGATGACACCAAATCGTTTGACGCAAGCAGCCACAAGACTACAATAAATTTAAACATATTGTCAATTAGGTTGTTGACAAGTTGTCTGGTGTTATTTTAATAATTATTAATTGCTCATGATCTCTGGTATAGACAGTGTGATGTGTGTGTAATATGTCAAAACAATCATAAATCAATGACTATTTTTCTACTTTGATTTAGTATTTATTACATTATGTCTACGCATTTAATCTGTGGGACCTACCTACATAAGTTTGCAAGTAGCTTATAGCATCATATCTTTGAATTAACGTAATCGTTGTATTTGAGACTCAAGTGTTAGACTCTGTTATGTACTCAATTGACAAGTGTATGGAAATTGTGAATAACTGGTGTAGCAGAGGAGCTTAATTATGATTTATAATTTTAGTAGGAACCAATAGTTATTGATAATTACATTGGAAGATAAAGATTTCTAGAAATCAACACATTGTACTATTTCAAAATATTTACTGATTCTATAGTTAATTTTTTTTTTTTTTAATTGATCCTGAGCCCGGCAACTGTGGCCATTAGCTATTAGTAAGTACTGTAGGTTTTTTGGAACGGTAGGGGGAACACGTGTGTGTTTGTTTTTGGCAGAATTTCGAATGGGGCACCCGTAGGTTTCTGCCATGCCCCGGGGGTGGGGGATGGCAGCACTTGCTCTCCGGTCACCGCGACTTGTCCGGAGAAAAATGCCGCCCGGTGGCCGAGGATCGAACCGCGACCGGCTGCGTCGCAGCGGAAGAGTCAGACCACTCGGTCACCTCGTCCCCCTCTATAGTTAATTGTTTATTGTATTTTGGGATTAATACTTCGTGTTGGAACCCTACTCAATAATATTCCAAACCTTTACAAGTCTTAATCGTAAAAAAATATGATTTATATAATCATTAGTTTTCTAAATTTTTACCTGTACAATTTTAGTTTAATTGAATGACATTTTCAAAACAAGGAATACAAAACAATTTTTTTCAACCCTATTTACATTTTAAATTCGAACACTTACAGCAGTTATCGCTTTATTGTAGATGATAATTAACACAAACAGTAATTTTTAACTTCTTAATTAATTGTGTGTATTCTTCATATCTTGTTTGTCTTTTTCTTAAATTATTTTTCATTCGTCGTGTAATATACGCTTACAGCTTATATCTTGGAAATACATAGGGATGGACCAGATACTTAAATTGAGTATAGCGATGAGATGCTTGATACTAAAAATATCACTAAATAAATAGATACTAGATACTCAAAACATATTTTTTTAAACTATTCAAAAATTCTATAATTTCAATAACGATTATTTTTTTAATTTATTCTTTTTAGTGTGCTGCACATGGCCAAAAACCGTTTTTATTTAAACAGTAAAAAAAAAAAATGAACATCAATTCATTATCAGATTTTAATCATCCTATAATACATATTATTACAACCAAGCTAATACAATATTTCATTAACTCATAGCCCATAGGTAACTCACAACTGCTGCGAGTGTAAATAAATTTTACAATTATCTGATCGCTCTAAATTTTAAAGCAATGTAAATCTAAAAGACAAATCAAATTAGCTGTTTATTTTATAATATATGCAATATGCATATCTGAGTGAAGAGTTTGGATTTTTATTTGTGGGGCACCTATAAAATAAGAGGTATTATAGTAATAAGACAAAACTGTTGGATAGAAAAGTTGGAATTTCAGAAAGCTATTTTAATGCAAATATATTAATGTTGCAAATTAGGTTTTAAACACTCCCAGTGTTATTATTAGTGACTTATTAATTTGACCATAACGTTTAATGTTTAATATAACTTGTATAAAATTGTTCTTTCGTGGTATTAATTTACATGTTAAATCGCCTATTTATTAGTTATCCATAGGTATTTTAAAACGGTAAAAGTTAACAGAACAAAAACCAAATAGGCACTCAAATTGTGTAGTACGCTACGACTTTATAGATATTTATCATTAAATTGTTTAACTATTTGGCTATTAAATCATATTTTACAATAACGCAATCATATAGTTCATAACTTAAGAGGTTAAGAGTATGTCACACACGCATGCCATTGTGTTGTCTATACTTGTCTGCGTCTTATAAACATATATAAGATATAAGTACAATACTAGTACAACATAGCAAACTTGAGTTCAGCAAAATCAATTGTGTGTTATAGAATAGCATTAATATAACAGTGCATTTACCTATGATGAAACTCTAGAAAATGCAAAAATTACCTGTGTTTATACTTAGATCTTTGGTTTTTTACGATATTTCAATCATTTATGAGCATTTTTAAATTGCATAATATTTTACCTACACAGTCATGACTCATGACTCACTTCTATAGGTAAATTCGCTCAAATATTAAAGCTATCAACACAATATTAATTCTACTGGAAGCTGATTCCTAAACGCAAAGTCGTACTTGTACGTTTGTAGTATGGAAACAAGTACTTAATTGTCATCTATTTTCATATGTTAAAAAAAATGTATAGATGACGAACGTCAGTACAACTTTATTTCATAAAAAATATAAAAAAAGTTTTTAAAAAAAAAGTATGGAAACAAGTACAAGGTCAGGTAAGGTAGGTAATACAAAATTTACACATGTGGGTATGATACTATGATAATTGATAGGTTTTCTTAATCAGAATTAAGAGTACAAACCAGCAGCTTATATCTAGTCTCAGCTAATTATTATATAGCATACAATATTACAAAATATGTACTTATTCTACAGTTTAATACTACGATTAGATTAAGTATAATAATATGTCAACGCTTTGATTAGGTATTTAATCTTAAACAGTAGAATAATATTATAAAGAATTTAATCGAGAAAAAAATATTATTATGCAGGTAAGAATTGAATAGTAAATAAAAATAACATAATTTAAACACGGCTTCAAGATATTCGATGAAATATAGGCATCGAAAAAATTTAAGCTATTTATTATGAACACTTAAATTTTTATAAGATTAAAAAAAAAGTATTTCACAATATCATTATTAGATAACATAATAAGTTAACATTATTGTTTGTATATTATGGGTAAATAATAATGCTATAAAAGGTAAAAAATACCCAAAAGGTAGGTATGAATAAAATCCTAAAACTGTACCTTATATATATGTATTACCTAGATATTTAATATTATGAATAATATGAAATAATCAATAAATAGACCTGCAAGTACCTATATAATATTAAATATTATAGTACAGTGAAACAAACCTCGATTACTCAAATCGGTCAAGGGCAAAAAAAAATTCGAGTTCTAGAAAAAATTGTATGTACGTATTGAAAAATATTCTTTCAAATTATTGAACATTCGACTTATAGCTGTTCGATTTATCGAAGTTTCGCTTTCATTACTAACAACAAAATACTTTACGCAAATGTATGCAAAATTAACTTTTTGAATTATTTAGATTTTAAATGATACCTATCATGTAGGTGCTGTGTGTATAAAATGTTACAAGCAGGAATTCCTAGTATATTTTAACATGAGAACCTGCATATGAATATCCGAAATTTTTCGAATTGTACTAATTTTGTTTCAAATATTATTGTTTATTAGTTGACCCCGTGCACTTCGTTGCCCGTAAAAAATGCCAACTTTAATATGATTTAAAGTTTGTTAAATTCGTTATTTAATATTCGGTGTAATGGTATTCAAATATAAAAATAAAAGATAATATTTAATTTTAAATCGGTGGATAGTAATGACTAATGACGAGGTAGTAAGTAACTTTTCTAGCCAATTTTTAACAGAAATACCCAACAATGGATTGAATATCATTTTAACTGGTATTTGATACTTCACTATACTTTTACTACCTCTGATTAAAATCATAATCGAATAGTTGTGTATTTCTGTTAAAAATTGGTTAGAAAAGTTAATTATTACCTCGTCATTAGTCATTAGTCATTACTATCCACCAATTTAAAATTAAATAGGTATTATCTTTTATTTTTGAATACCATTACACTGAATATTAAAATTCGATTATGAATTTAATCAGAGCCAGTAAAAATATAGTGAAGTATCAAATATAGGTTAAAATGATATTCAATCATTATCATAACAATTTTATTTTATGTAACTAAAGTCAACCATTTATATACAAAAAAAATATTCTTAATAATTTTTTTCTATATAATACTATTATAATCTGTAACCAATAGCAACCACTTATAAACAGAAAACAATATATAGAGTAAATCACCAAATAATTGTGTAACGTGTAAGCACCTCTTTAAAATGCGAATGTTGGAAAATCTTTCCTTAGTGCACCATTACAATGGTATGGAGGTGCCGTCGAAATGACATATCTCTGTCATATCATTAGTTGTACTAATGAGTAATGATGTATAATAATAATAATGTCGCAGCAGTATATTTCATACCAGCCACTATTAAACAATTATAATATATAAAGAATAAGTATTGTTAATTTTAAGAACCGCAACGAAATACTATTGTAAGACATAGTTTAATAGTTTGTCATGAATACCATCTAGGATTAAAAGGATGCCAATCGAGACCAAGGGAGGCTCGATTCCTGTCATTATCGACCATTATCTCCCCTAAAAATATTTTCCTGTATTTTTTATTTTCAATAGTTTTAAAGACTGTTGCACTGTTGTTTCAAATGTCATTGTTGATATACTACTTAAGCGACTTGTGTCTTGTGATAATCTAGTATTTTATCTTATCAATGTTCTATGTTATAATGAGTAGCAACACTTCTCTAAGGTATCTGGTAAGTAACGACTAACTAGTTTTTTAAATTATTCTATTTTATAATACAAATATTTTTTTTTCTTTTATTAGTGCAACATAAACCATTGGGTGTAAGGTGGTAAGGTAGGGAATTTGTTGTATAGGTTTAGTTTGAGTAGGTTTTTATGTTGGTAAGATTGTAACATGTGTACGTGTATGTCCGGCAAGAATCTGTTGCTAAAAACCCGAGTGGTCACCCATCTGAGAGCTAGCAACGTCAGTCGATACGTACACTCAGAAGTCAGGGTGTTTCTGAAGATTGAGAGTACGACCGCGCCTCACCAAGCCACTAGCCTAGATATTAAAAACATCACTGTAGAGAACAATCAATTGTGGTAATTTTATTATTTTAATTGTAAGTGGTGGATGGTAAATGGTGATAGTATGATGGCAAGTTTGAAAGGGACCCAAATAATTCTTAACCTGTCTATGGTAATATCTTAGAAAAATATGAATCGTATCTCAAACACTTAAATAATCCATATTATAGTGCTATTATTACTAGATGGCAAACAGATAATTTGTATGTTTCGGCAAATGGATTTTTAGGCATAACAATTAAAGGATTTCTGACATAATTTATAAAATGTACGCAAACCTACAAGATAAAATTTTAACACATTTTTCTAAATTGTTGAACTAACAATATTTTATTCTCTTCAAAAATTATAAAGTTAAATAAAATTGTTACAAAAATTAGTCTTATAAATATAATTTTTTATTATAACAATTGAAATACGATATGATATTTCTATTATTAGTAAAACTATAACTTAGACGATCACCTTATTATCATAGGTTGTTCTACGTGTATGGTATTCCTTACAGCTGAATATTAAGAATAGTTATGTATACCCACAATATTTATTTATGTACGTAAATAATACTGGATAAATCAAGAAAAAAAATTTTATTACTCAAAAATATTTTTTTTTAGGGTATTTTAGTTTGGTACTTCAGAATTATGACATCTTCACATATAAAAATATGAAACCGCTTTATCAATACATACGCTGGTATTCAATTTTCTAATAATATATTTTTTTTTTTTTGTAATCTGCATGAAAAGAAACAAATGTGGATTTAAAATGTAAAATGCTGATAAGTAATATTAACCAAGTATAAAATATAAAATATATTTAAGTTATTGAAGAGGAAGTGGAATAATATTATACCTTGTGTTTTTGTAATGCACAAAAATGCAACTTTAAATTTTTTTAATTTTAATACAATCGTTTAATACTTGTTAAATAACATTTCCACTAACAATTTGTTTCTATATTTGAATATAAAATGTTAAATTAGTTCCACATTGTTTATAGAAGAGATAAAGTAAAAATAATATGAAAAATGTAAATTAGCAAATAATTAAAATGTTTTGTTTTCTTAAAAAACTCAACTTAATACAATTAATAGATCCGGGTTTTCTATACATTAAGAACAAACAATGAATGAACATATATTTATAACAATAACACTAACTTATTACTACTTCTAATACTACAACTCAATTAATTTTATATATAATATTTAATGAACAAAATGGTAAATATATTAAGTGCCAAGTTAAAATATTCAACATAAATAATTGTTAAAGGGACTAGATTGTAAATAGTTTCTTTCAGTGGCATATTTAAGATTAATCAAGCAAGTGCATATTTATATTTTGATATAATTAAAGTTAAAATATTTATTATTTTATCATTATGATTATTTAATATTTTTAAGATATAAATATAAATGTATCTATCCTACCCGCGACCAATAAATATGCCACTGTTTTCATACTATGTCAAAATTTAAATTCGATTATAGTACACAGATAATGGACATAACATTTTTTTAACAAACAGAAACATAAGTGAATCAAACCTTAACAGATTAAACGTTTTGTGTTTGGCAGCACAATAGGAAAAGTTTCATAGAATTATGTTTGAATATTTTTTTTATGATAAGTGACAATTATTGATGACTATAACTTTTTAAAAACTATACTAAGAGCAACTTTTTTTAAAGCTTATAGAAATATTAAAACCAAAGTATAAAAAAGATACATAAAATAAAGTAATCACAATCTCATACAACATTAGTTGTGATAAAATCTCACATCAAAACAAAACATTGTAAACAATGTTATATTGTATAAGATCTTTGATTTAAACTTAGTAATTTATTAAATTGAGTGCATCAAAAACTGATCATACCCAACTTACTGCAATAAGATTTGTTAACACCTTGATATCAAGATCAGTAATATTATGTATTTATAATTTGGTTTGTATAATCATCAATTTAAACTGTCAATGAAAATAAAAATGTTGTATGTAATTATATTACAACAGCTAAACAATTTACAATCATATCATATATTATTACAATGTTATCTACAAATATTCAACAGCGAGAGAAATTTAAAAAACTACAATTGAATACATTTTTAATTTTTATGGTGCAAATGCTGCAAAATTATTTGTTTAATTAACTAATTAAATTTATGTGATACATACATAGAGATAATTTTTAAAACTGATGTTTTAAACACAATTGTTATATTTTATACAAGGTATTTAAATTTAGCTTGCATTGCCAGTATAAATTATTTTAATACATCCGAATACATTTTCATAATTTTTTTTTTTTTTTGTCTAAATTAACTAAGTACAGTATAATTAAATTAGTTTATGCGTACTTTTTATCATATGAAGTATTATAAGTAATCCTCAGAATATTGCTTAGGATAGAACTAAATACTGTAAATAGTTTGTATATTTTGTAACATACATGCCATGAGAATGTTGACTGGTAAATTCAATGAAAATCTATCTTGTTAAGAACTCTAAGGTAAAAATTCCATTTCTCTTTCAATTCCAACGAATTTAAGTTGCTCAGTTGGTCCATATCTAAAAACATAATAAAAATGAGAAAAACAATGTTAATTCAATATACAAATATTTAATAATTAGTGAAAATAAATTAGTAACCTGTAGTCAAAAAATAGTTCTTCACCAGGTTGTATAGGACGTTTAGCAAATATACCAATTCGATGATCACCATTTACCATCATGACTTTAGCATAACAATTTGGATTTATAGAATGATTGGCAAATCTTATTTTATTGCCTTTTCGTGTAGCATCAACAACAAAATCTATTATACAAACCATAACACTCAGTTATATAATATTACATGTATGAAAAAAGCCTCTACATAAATATTAAATTTGTATTTAAAAAAATATCATTAACTCAAAGATCAATACATACCATGATTTAAATTAAATAAAAAGCTGCACATGTATTTATCATAAACTTTCCCACGTCTATCAGCTTCGTCCTGAGTAATAATTTCTCCACAATATTCAGATATAAATTCATTTTTTTGTGCAGAATCTTTCAAAAATATACCCCAACCAGCAACATCTGAAGGCGCCATTAATAAGTGTTTACCTAAAATATAACACAAATTCTTATTTATAATACACAAACACTTTAAACATATTTAACTTTTTAGTATACTTACGAAGGCCTCTTTGAACACTGACATTTTTACATGTTATATTATCTAAATTAAACTGATCAGCACCACAAGTTAAACATAAATCTGGATCACATTCACGAACCGCTAAATAACAAGGACATTGTTTTGTGTTGCACTGAGCGCGACACCGGCAACCAGGAAACCGATTTTGACCTTCAATACAAGAAGTACTTATATTAAATACAATATCTAATGATATAAGAAATCTTAAAATACTCACAATCTGAACTGCACTTGCAGAATTTTTCACAGAAATTCTGTGCCATTACACAAGGACATGTTGCATCACAACCTTGATTTGGTGGATGAGAACATGGTGTATAGTTATATAAATGATTTGATGCAGAATCTCTCTTTAATTGTACTTTTCGACAATGTGTCTGCCATAAACGTAACTTTTTCTTTTTTTTTCTAGGTGGAGTTAGTTCACTAATAGCTTCTTCGACTGTAACTTCATCATTTTCATTTTGAGCAAACTCATAAACCTGCTGACAACTTTTTGTTAACATCATCTGAGCAATGACACAATAGTTATTCAGGAATGTGCGACGCAGTGCACGGAAAATTGATTGGTCTGATCCAGTCCACACTTGTTTATCTTCTGTGCTCATGCGTGGAAGTAAAGAGAAAGACGTTTTTGTTGTCAAAGGATCTTCCATGTCTAGTTCACCATCTGTTGAAAATTGAACAAATTGTTTTATAGATGACGAAAATTTACTGTAAAATATATAATTTTAGATTAACTATTCATAATTATACTAAGTACAATACCTTTACTGCTATCCCTGCTATCTTCAGAGCTAGCATCATTACCCCAGTCAGAGCTATCTTTTTTTGACAACTTAGTAGAACCTACAGGTTTTTCAATATTTTCATTTTGAGGTGACAATTCTTTTGTATTACTGGAAATCGTAGTAGACCCCGATAAATTAGTTTCTTCATCTCTATCCGCTTGTTTTTGTTTTTCAGCTTTGATTTCAGCAATAGCAGCCAATTTTTCTTTCATTCCATCCTGAAAAAAAATTTGTTTAAAATCCTATTTAATGTATTAAATATTATTAATGTCTTACAAGTAACATATAACAATCTTGACTACAGTGAGACGAAAACGGTTTTAATAAAGGTCCTTTAAGGCCAATTGGCAAATTAGTACCGGAATCATGTTCTTTAAGTTCTACAACATAAAAAAATAAGATATTAATGATTAATTAATATAACAGTTACTTATAAAAAATATTATATACATACTATGTAAAAAACAATCATATTTGTAACATCTTCTACAGAACAAATTTAAAAATGAGTGTATAGTTTGTTCTTTAGGAACAGACTCAGCCTTTGGTCCATCAATGTTTGGAGTGCATTGAGATGGCTGTGCATTAGGATCAACACAAGATGTTAATTCAATATACCTAAAAAAAAAAATATAGATATAAATATTACACAAAATAAAAATGTAAATATTAAAATGCAATATTTACTTTTCTTTGAACTCTTCAGGAGTTCCTTTATCAGGAAATGCAGCTGACATAGCTTCAAATATAGCCACACTAGGAAACGGCCTATCATCCTTATTGTTTTTTACTACCATTTTTGGAGTCAATAAAGTTTGTTGTTCCTTATCTTCTTCTTGCTAAACAAGTTCACTAACATTAAGTCTCAATTAGAAAAAAAAATTTATTTTATTTTACCTGAAATGGTATAAGTGCATGGACTAAGTCTACAAACACCTGATCATCTAAAAAGTTTGCAGCATCATCATCATGAACTTTATTATCATAATTTTTTAATAGTTCCTCAATAAAAGAACCATCTTGATCAAGTACCTCGTCCCCCATGTATGGGATATTATGTAATACAGTTTCATCGTCCACCTACAAAACATTAAATGCCAACAAAAAATTATTATATCATATTATAGTCTAGGACTCTAGGTATATATTGCATATATTATTGTCTAGTAAATTGTTACCATAAAATTCTGCTGAATTGGTGCCCAGATGTACATAGTAGGTATAGGTGCTACAGCATTAATTATTTTAATCGGAACGCTCATAGTTTCTTCCCCAATACCATCCACCTTAGATACCTCTGATCGTTTAGATCGTGATACTGTTTCTATATATGGTCGACATTCCCAAATCGCTTTTCTTGACAACAACCGTTTTAGTTCTTCCGCTTTTTTATCTGTACAAAAAAAATAAAACATGAAAGTATGTAAAGTAAAATAATAACATGCCCATTAAAATTACCATAGAGCTTTTTTTGATTATTCATGCATGCTAAAACATTGTCATCGTCTTTCTTTGTTTTTTTGGCCTGTAGTAATCTGAAATACTCGGCTTTTACGCGTTTCTTCCAGTCGGCATTGTTTTTGGCTTTTTTCTCGGACATGGTGGTCGGTTCAGTTGACCAAATCAGAAGAATATGATACACTAAAATCGAATGTCAAAATCAAAAAATCGAACGCTATAAGGACAAATCTCGAACAAAATATGATAATAAACACACAAATAATTACCTCATTCACGTAGTCTATAGTCATAGACTAATTACGTTTATCGAACAACCTCGTTCGGTCGTCATATCATAGGAAAATTAGCCGAAAAACATATAGTCGGCGAGCTATCGGTTTCAAATCTACTATTGAGACAAAAACTAGTATACGTACAAAAGATGAGATCCGAGGTTAAGGCATTTCCATAAAAATATTAAGTATTGAATAATAATACGTCTAACAGTGTAAACAAACTTTTATTTTTCAAAAGTCGTTTTCTTCCGTTTTAATGTTTTATAATGTTTATCAGCTTACATTATGTGACCCGATAACGTTTACAACATCATTCATGTCGCTCGCACATAACCTTCAACCTGGAGGCTGTAAGGCCGTAATTTTGAAGAAAATAAATGATTCGAATGTTTGGAATTTTTAAATTAATTTTCATTAAAAAAATAGAATTACAATAAGTAAAATTACTGAAATCCAAATATTCGGAATCCGGGTATTGACGTTTTGAAAATGCGATGAACATAAAATATAAATATGTACAGCAATTTAATCCCATTAAATTGAAAGCCTGAAATTATAATCACAAAACGTAATGTTTTGTAGAATATGATAACTGATAACGTGGACCGTTATTTTCCAGCACGGTCTAAATAATACGATCTAATGCTATTTTTTTCAAACAAAATTTGACAAACCTGAAAAGTATCAAATTTATCCTAAAAAAAAGTTTATACATTTTTTGATTACTTTTGATTACAATATACTTATGAGAAACATTATTTTAAATTTTCAAACCTTAGTAATAAAAAT